ATTTGATGATGCAAGATCACTCCATATTGAGGCTTTTGCTCGAGGGAAACGGGGCAAACGTAAAGCAAAATGCCAAACCCGAATCTTTACAGGATACGGGTATGGGTTATGAGGATCAAGAATTTCCAGTTATTTCTGCTGGGCCAGTTGACCTTGATTGCCTGTGGAATTATTCAATTTGAAGATTATCAACTCCAATAAAAAGAAGCAGCTGCAGATTGGAATAATGTTACCTTAAGAATGTTATTGTGTGCAGGTTACTGAACTTGAATGTGTAGAAAAAATTATTGAAAACTCTGTACTTAATTATTGAAATATAAGTACTTAAATTTCTTTAGAATTTTTTTTTTTTTNCGACTACTGATTGATATTATGATATGCATGCATCATATTTTTTTATTTGTTTTCTTTTTTTTTTTTTTTTTGGGTTTGTGTGTATATTTTAAAATAGTTGATTCATACTCAAGAAATTACAATTGTCATCACCCTCAATCAACAAGTCGATTTACACATAATAAAAATGTTACCGTCCTGAATTACAAGATCTTGATTTCGTTTCTAGTTTAACATCAATTTAAAAGTTTGAACACGCAAATTTCATGATATTCTTCAAAAATTATTCCTTGGACCAACTTAGTTGTCCCAATATATCATGTAGTATAGCTGTTCAGAAGACTTGCTATTAGTCATCAAAATAATTTAGGGTGATACATATGGACATTATTAAATAAAACAAATATTTTCTTAGTGAAATTCAATTAAAAATTTGAATATTGATCACATGGCATGGACCTAAAAGTATTTTATTATTTCAAACTAGCTCGATGTACTACTATATTATAGATGTGAATACAATGAAATTGTCAAAACAAACTCTATAGTCATGTTGAATATTACTGCATCGATCGATCTGACTTGTCTCAAGAAATTTATTTTAATAGTTTTCTTCTTGAGAACTTATTTTTCTTGCCTCATTTCCACGAAGATTGGGGATGGGGGGTTTAGGTCATCCAAACCCACTCTACTATTAATTATTTTTAACATATTTCTTTTTTTACTTAGGCTACTATTTATGCATTTCTTTATTTTATATAAAAAAAAAATACAACATAAAAAATATAGATAGTTATAAAGGTTGATGTCATCTCTTGTTTGTTTCATAAATAAATTTTATTTTTCCATCTCATTTCTATCTCACTTCTTAAAAATAAATAAAGATTTTCTATGATACTCTCGAGTCTTGACTAACAACTTGGGAAGATAGAGTTGGGATGGCAGTTGGCGGGCCCCCACCATGCATAGACCTTTTCTTATTTGATAACAAAGCGGGTTTCACGACACCCACAACAGCTAAACTCTACCATCAGCTCAATTCAATTCAACTCGACTCGACATGATCCTTATATTTCTCCATTTGCATTCGACCTTTAAGACCTGAGCTCGGCTTAAAAATAAAAATAATTGATAAAATTTTTAAACCCTTCCCTCCGTTTCAATTTTTTTTCATTTCACCAAGTTCGTGTTTGGATCGTCCACAAAAATTGATTAAAATTTAAATCAAAATCAACATTAAATTTTAATCACGTGTTTTCTGGGTCTCACAACTTTTCAGCCACACATT